TGCCCTGGCCGAGCCAATCTCCTGACATGAACCCCATCGAAAACCATACTCGACCAGCAAGTCAAGAAACAACCAAAAATACCAACTTCGAAGAGCGATCTACTCCAAGTTTTGAAGCAAGAGTGGGCGAAAATCCCACAATCTAAAATTGACGAGATGGTCCTCACGATGCTCCCAAAGGATCAACGAACTCCACGAAGCGAAAGGAAGATCTACTAGATATTAATTAAATTATAAATATATCAATTCATGTGAATATGACTGAAAATTTTTATTTTTTTCTGAAAAGGTGGTGTCTATTTACTTGTGACCACGCCGTGTATATAGTTCGATGAAATCACATTGATTACTTGCTCATACACTTAAATTATTAATATAATGCTGGTGCAGAATAATCTGTAGAAAATTGTGAATGAATAATCATAAGTACTACAATGCACTTGATACCTCACTTTCAGATACGCAATGTAACCCCCTCTCTTTGATACTAACTTCGTCTTTTCTCAGCAGGAATTCCGTACGTCGTCTGGTAAACCAACTAAAGGAAACCTTGTTACTGACTTAAAGCAATCATGATGTTTTTCTACTTCTATTATAACACATTTTTAATTGTTTACTATGATGTTCACTTGATACTTACCTGGAGCTCCGAAGGAATGGTCTTGTAGGTTGGCTGGACGAGTGGAAGTGGACGCAAGCCTCCAGGTAAGAGACCCCTCATCCAGTTGAAACTGACGACTTTGGGTAGCGACGACAATATGGCTTCTGCTGAATCCATTACGTCCTTCGAATAATGGAATCGACTGTTCAGATTTTGACCCGTTGGTCCAACCACACATGTCTCGTACGAAGGAACATTCACCTGAATAATAAAGAATGATTTATTGATTTGTTATTTAATAGCAAACTCAAAACCTGCATTACAAATACACGTAATCAAACCAGTAGCTACACAGTTCCCAAAGCACTGTCAATAATTTCAGATATTTAAAACTTTGTATGAGCAAAATAGGAATGTCGTTTGTGATACGGATGGTATTTAAAGCTTGAGAAGATGTTAAGAGGATATGGAGATAAAAGGCGTTTTAAGATATCCAATCGATATGGCCATGTTTAAAATTAAGATATCACTTCAAAGTCAGTAACTGATCAATTACTACTATTTGGTTAAGTTTAATAACTGACTGAAATATGTTGTGATATTGTTTGACAGTCCGATGCTACTTCATACAACAATAATCTTACCATTCATAGTCGTTGCTTTGCTCGGGAGAGCTAGATGGCGAAAAGAAAGAAGGTTTATCATCATATTTCGAAGAAGTACATAAGTTATTTCTATATAAGGATAAACTTCAAATTATTGCATATTTTGGTGTTCATTATGAGCTCAGAACTGTACATTCTAAATATGATTAAAGATTGTTCGTAGCCAACTTAAAGCGCTGTATCACAATAAATGTCTTAAACTCGTGAGTTCTTTTTTGTAGTCAGCTCAGTAAAAATAAAGATGCTCATAAGCATCATCATATAAATATTTTAATACTCTAGAACTCTTTACAGATTAAAATTCAAATAACTCTACTCCAATTTGAAATATATCTTTATGAAGTGACTGAATAAAGGAAACTCAATTATTTTATTTGTGCTAATAACGTCTCGTTAGATACCAAATTTTTTATCACTGCCCGAGAAAATGTGTATAGCTATCGGATGACGATTTGACGTGAGTTTGGAAAGTTAGCAAGAGAGAAAGGAAATTAACTAGAGCCAGCTGACTGTCTTGACGCTAGTCTACTTAAATAAGTTAAAATAACATTAAGCAAGTAGAAGCCAAAAACTGAAAAGAATATTTAAAAAGTGATGCATCACAAGATGATCAAAGCACATCGAGTCGGAATGTTTTGCAAGTGTAACACTATGACGAATAAAAAACAGAACTCGGGTAAATAACTAATTGTACTCGGTTCGTAATGTTGAATGTTTAGGAATAACGCAGTTACATCCAATTTCATCAGTTACACATAACTTCGAGATTACAAAAGTAATCGGAATCTGATATCTCAAGGACTTTAGTAATCAGTAATGATAGTAAAATCTAAAACCTACAACTAATATATTTAATTGATACTGTGAAACACAAATCACAAACATGTTACCTTATTTAAATAACAAATGGCCCACAGTGGCTCAACGATAAGTCGGCAGTCTTAGGATGCAAAAAACCTGGCTTCGATACCAAGCACAAATAGACCATTTTGGAGCTTTGCGTTCAACATGAACCAAACCAAAAAAAATTGTTTAAATAAAATAATGAACGACAGGGACTTGAATTTAGTAACCTTCCTTTTTCGAATTAAGTAGTACGAGAAATAAAATAGATAAAATAAATGTGAAGTTCAATAGAATGGTCTTAATTTTCGGGCAAATATGCATGTAAGACCTCTTTTTAAATCTTAAAGTACAATGTGATGTCTCGCTCAACTTTAGTGCGATACAAAACAATAGAAATAACTAATGTGTGATGTGTCGTATACAACAACTTACTTGTACAGTCTCCGTTGAAAAAACTTATGTCGTCGAACGCAATGTATCCAACCCTATCGGCTCCCCAGATGCCCTCGATAATAACCTGAAAGAGATATTTGTAAAACACGAATTCAAAATAAACAATAGTCGTCCTAACTATGCTTCCATGTTCCTAGCTATATCAAAATAAACAACAGTCGTCCTAACTATGCCTCCATGTTTCTAGTTGTTTGAAAATACACAATTGTCGTATTAACTATTCTTCTATGTCCCACGTTGTTTCAAAATAAACGAAAGTTTCCTAACTATGCTTCCATTTAACTAGTTGCTCGAAAATAAATAACAGTCGTCCTAACTATGCTTCCATGTACCTAGTTGTTTGAAAATACGCAATAGTCGTCCTAACTATTCTTCCATGTTTCTAGCTGTTTCAAAATAAACAAAAGTCCCTTAAACATGCTTCCATTTACCTAGTAGTTTGAAAATAAATGGTTGTGATTACTATGCTTCGATGTACATAGCTGTTTCAAAATAAATAACAGTCATCCTAATTATGCTTCCATGTGCCTAGCTGTTTCAAAATAAATAACAGTCATCTTTACTATGCTTGTGTGTGTATAATTGTTTCAAAATAAACAATAGTCGTCCTAATTGTACTTCTATGTATTTAGATTTTTCAAACAAATTATAATCCAAACATATTATGTTAACCAGTAATATGATTTCTTAGAATTCTGACAATACTAGATTAGCGAGGAATATTTTCTTAAATTAACCATGGATTTGTTTTTATTATTTTATTTTTCAGTCAGGAAAGCGCGCTTTGGGGAAAGTAAAACAAACAGCAGGTATTTCTTCCGCTAGGTTTTCGTGAGTACTTGTAGTTTTAGTACCTCAGTTAAAGCTGCGCACATGTAATGAATTCCCTCCGAATATATCCTTTTGTGATGCATGAGCTACCGTATGGATTATTATTTATGACCAAGGAAATGCGTTTGTGTGTATTTTTGTTATAGCAAAGCCACACCGGGCTCTCTACTGTGTCCATCGAGGGGAATTGAACACCTGATTTTAGCATTGTAAATCCGAAGACTTACCACTGTCCCATTGGGGACAATGAAATACTTTATGGCAACAGGTTCAGATATTTTTAAAATTCAGGTTGGATGTTGATAAACGCTACGCACAATTTGCAGTAAATGTGTCAGGCGTCGTGACGTGATGCAATTGTTAAATAAGAAAATTACACTTATAAAAGGATCATGCAATAGATTACTTTTGTGTTCGTAATTAATGCTCTGAATTAAAAGCAACGAGAAAAATGTTATGAAATGCTTTTACATTAAATGTGTTTAAAATTTTGTAACATCACTTTTTGTTCTAGTTTGACTAAGTAAGCCCTTTACTAATCTTTCGCAAACATGAACTTGTGGTTTGTCACTTTTATATTTGTTGCCATCTAGGCTGTCTCTGCCTTCTCGTTGGTCTTTTGGCCTACGGTGACCACCAAGCTGGCATTGTGAGGTGACTGACACAACAATCACACTGAAAGTTAAACTTGTCACAAAGTAATTTTTCGTGCTTATGATAGGCTTGACTATTAGATGGGACACTACTTCTTATGTCAGTTTTTTGGTCTCCAATTTGTTCCAGTGCTGAGATTAAAGTGACTAAATTGTTCGAAAGCAGCTCCAAACATACAGTTTTGTCCTTTTCCAAGTATTTTGTAATAAAGCTATTATGCTACAATTGTAAGTTTCATCATGTTTCGGTTAAACTTTCAGCTATCTTTAGTTACATTCCACGAATTTGCTTTGATCTCATTTAAATATAGCATTCGTTCGATTTCTTGAGATAAGTTTTATCTGTTTTAAGACAATAAAATTTAGTTTCTTTCACGTAACACTGACTGATGTCTGTCTCTTTTCTTCTCTGCACGCTATTACATAAGATTTTACCCATAAAATCCTCGAAGTCCCGTCCTGTTATATCTGGAAATTATTTACCTGTGTACTGTGTGCATTATTATATCTCTACTTTCGATGTAGTGACTAAGATTTGGTGTGGAATAAATGAAAGTGTGAATAACAAGCATAGAAGCAGTAGCGTAGCAAGGGTTCTCAGCACCGGGGGCAAAGACACGTTTGGCGCTCCCACCTCTGAATTATTTTTATTATTTGTTTTGTGACTCATTACCCACTTAATGACAATAACATAAAGAATTAATTACCGCCTTACACAGGCCTAAAATAAAGTCACAATATAACATTTCACGATATCACAACTGTAAACCTGGAACTAATAAAGTATAGCCTACTAGGTGTACTTACATAATTTGTAAACCATTTTGATATTTATGTCATCCAGTATTGTTCAAAGTCACATAGCTAGAGTAATATTTCAAGCATGCAGAATAAATGTCTGTTATATCCCTAGTTTTGGAACTTATGTTTTATATGAGAAGCCAGTCACTTGTGGTGATCATGGATTATAAAACAGATTGATAAAATACTGCTTAAGTTTACAAATAACAAATTTTATTAGTTTACAAAACTGTACATATACTTAACTATATCTTGTACATGTAGCATTCTGGTATTCATGGTTACATTATATGAACCTTTCGTGCTTTTGCTACTGCAAATGCATCAATTAAACTTAAAATTGCCAAGTTACTAAGTCGTTCTTGAGTCATTGAGGTTCTCAAGTATGTAAGAATTAATTTCAGCTTGCTGAAGGAC